GGCATTCCCCCGGAGGAGCTGGAGGAAGTGTCTGGAGAGAGGGAAGTCTGGGCATCTTTGCTTAGACTGCTGTCCCCGTGACCCAGTTCCGGATAAGCGGAGGAAAATGGATGGAGTAGTTAACGTTATCTTTACCAGCTGCAGCATTAAAGTGATGAATGCATCTATAATTATAATTCATTAACATACATTCATAAAAAAAGCGTCTGCATGAGTACTTTTACTTTTGGCACTTTATATTTTGCTGGTAATACTTTTGTACTTAATTTTGAAGGCATGGCTTCTATTCTACACTGTGGTATTACTACTTACACCCAAGTAAATTCTGGGGCCCTCTTTTGGGTTGTTTTGTGCATGTTTTATCTTGCTCTGTGCCCCTTTGTTGTTTCATGTCACATTGGTTTGCATCTGTTTTTATTAATTGTGCTTTTTTTTGTGGTTGCATTTTGTTTTGTTTTTTTGTATTTATCTTTATCATCATTTGTCACTTCTTTGTGGTAACTTTGTCTCTAGGTTGATTTTTGTCTCTGGTCATTTATTTGTACTCATTTATCGTCGCTTTGTGGTGGTTTTACACTTTCTTGTAAGCCATTTTGTGTCTTTTACTAAGTTCTGTGACTTGGAAAGTGGAAATGTAAACTGTATACATCATACAGAGGCTTTGGCCCAGGGGCCCCTGATCTCTCGCCCGAACCTGTCGGCCACTGGGTGATCCATGCACGGCTGTAATGAACCTTAACATGTCAGAGCCACTGAGTCACTCATCGCTAACAGTGAATCATCTTGTCTCTTTAACATTAAGTGCTTCGTGTTGTCATGTTGCTGGAGACTGCGTTTGCGCAACATGATCTGCAGCCACTGCACAACACACACACATACATACATACATACACATACATACACACACACACACACACGATCTTGTCTTTGCGGAAGCTAGTGGAGCCTAGGCGGCGCTAAATTAAATTAGCATACTAACTAGTTAGTTGTGCGCCGAGGGGGATGGACGGGTGAACGGAGCTGTGTGCAGTAATACACATTCTCTGAAGTCAAGACACCACCGACTCCAGCCTCATTTTGTCGGGATCTTCCTGTCGTCTGCCTGCCGAGGAGATGGGGGACAAGGCGGGCACCAGGTAAGACAGCGACGCTACGGAGGCTAACAGCTAGTTAGCACCCGAGCTCACGCACTTTGCTAACGTTAGCCGAGCTGCTGTTGGCCCGAGCGGGGGAGTTTTTTCACAGCCTGTGCTGTAGAGATTTACCTGCTTTATAAGAAAAGCCTGACACAAAGAACACAGATGATTCCCTCAGTTCGTGTTTGAACCTCAGAAACGATGATTTATTCTGTAGGAAGAGAAGTTAGCACAGCAGGGTGGGGTTAGCTAAGCGCGGTAACGTTAACTTAAATCTCCAGTGGACAGGACGGTGTTCCAGCCTCTGCTTAGAAAATGGTCAAATTTCGATTTGATTTGATTTGATTGATTTGATTTGATTTATTCTTTCAAGCATGTAAAGACAGTTGATATGTCAACACACATAATTTTATACATATCCAACAAATGCTAATCCAATATCAATGTGCTTATACCTAGTACATGCTTGAATGGAGTAGGAAGAAGTCAGACTTATTCAGTCCTACCCCATAACATCATCTTACCATCATTGGTTTGCAAGCAGTATCTCTACATAAATAATTATCTTCTACACCACACAAGTAATATATTTAAGAATTATTACAAAGTGTTAACATTCATACACCACACCCACAATGTTCCATGTAATTAATCATTAAGCCTGTTATTGCATATATCTTGATTGACACATACCTTTATATTTATGTTTAAACTCGTCAATTCTATTACTATTTTTTATGTCCACACTTAAATTATTCCATAGTTTTACCCCACTTATGGAAATACAAAATCTTTTTTTGGTTGTACGTATAGCATGAATTTTTAAATTTAACTGACCCCTTAAATTGTATCCCCCTTCCCTTTCATTAAATAGTTTTTGAATTCCACCAGGTAATAAATTGTTCCTGGCTTTATACATAAACACAGCAGTCTGATATCCCACTAAATCAAACAATTTTAACAATTTAGACTGTATGAAAGCTCCATTGGTGTGATCCCTATACCCCATCTTATGCACAATTCTTATCGCTCTTGTTTGTAATATATACAATTGTTGAAGTGAGCTTTTGTATGTATTTCCCAATGGTAAAATCAATGAAGAATACAAAATACATAGTGCTTTCCCGTCCAAAATATATCTAACCCTTGCCAATATCGATATATTCTTTGCTATTTTGTGCTGAACATATCTGATATGAGATTTCCAGGAGAATCTGTCATCAACTATGACACCTAGAAATTTAATTTCATCCTGTGTAACCCGTCCAGAGAGTTGCTGTAGGTTTTCACCCGATGCCCATATGGTAGTGTCATCAGCAAACAAAACCACTTTCACTAAATCAGAAACCTTGCATATATCATTAATGTATAATATAAATAATTTAGGTCCCAAAACAGAACCCTGAGGCACTCCACATACAATATCCAGCTCACTCGATTGGTATTCACCCAACCTCACAAATTGACGATGTCCTGCCAGTGCATCTCTTCAGTAAAAATCACAACAGCTGACAACTTCATCTCTGACCATTTAATCTACTGCACATTTATTATATACATCTGTACTTGTTTTAATTGAAAACAGGCTTTTGTTTTTGTAGACAGGATTTTCTACGGCGTTTTTCTAGTAAAATACAGCCGTGGTGGGCGGTATTGACTAACGGAGATCTACGGTTAAAGTCGTGATTTTATTGAATTCTAGTATTTTTTGGGTGGGCGCTGTCAATGTCGAGTTTAACAGAAGACTTGTATGACGTACAAATAGTTATAGTTTTGTTATATCCTGTTGTCTACACAAGGTGGGATTAAAATTTAAATATTTTCAAATGGAGTTTGGTGCCACTACGCTTATTGCCTGCTACTAATGCGGGCTAATTTCGGCTGTGTAGGTACCACAGGCTCGTGCTTTTTAGCTCTAAATGTATTTTGAGTTTGAAGGGTTCTCTGAAATGTACCTCATGTGATTGAACCAGGTTTTTTAGAGGCAGTTTGATCCACAAAGAGAGCAGGTAAACAGTGAAAACGTTGCTGGCTCTGTTTGTTTTCCGCCAATGAAGCTGCAGCGCTGACACCCTGAATGTATTAGCTCGATAAACAGTTTTTCGGGTTTCTTTAAGCGCCAGGGTGCCACTCTGTGCTTTCACACTCCTTTTACTTGGGTAAGCACTGCTGTCTGTATGCTTACCTTTTGTGTTTTTCTTTCTAAAACTAACAAATAAAGTAAATGTCAGATGCTTCCTCACTATTTTTGACGTGTTACAATAATCTGTCGATTAATCAATAATAAAAGTAAGTGTTAGTTGCAGCCTTAGTTTGTTCACCTGTAGATTTAATGATACAGTACAGATTTGTTTCTGTGCTGCACTCCTGAAAATTGTTTTTAAAGTAAGATTGTGTTGGGTTAAAGTGCCGACTCTCGGCTTCAGTCTGAAGCTTGTGCACATGTTGCTGATTGGTTCATAAAAAAAAACAATACTTTCCCTTCTGTTCATTCTTTTTTAATCAGTTGTTGGACTAAAATTTTAGGATTTGCTGTGTCCACTTCAGTCTTAAATTCCTATCTCTCCCTCCATATTTAACTGAAGTTACTTCCTGTTAGGAAACAGGTGGGAAACAGGGAGGAGAGGAAATGATCCAGCAGTAGAGAAAGGGATGAGAAGTCCCCATTGGCCCAGGCGAACCTTCCTGGAATATTTAGACTTTATCTCACAGGGACCAGCTGTGGATAACAGATTGCACACTATCAGCATATTGACCTGTGTGGTGATAATCGGCTGCACCAACAGAACTGACTCATGATGCACCACGTGCCAGATGCATGAAACCTTGTATAGATTCACAACCGAGGCTGTGTTCATGCTACAGGCCTTAACACTCAGCTCTGGTCTTGTTGTGTTGCTGCTTCCCGTCCATGTGTGTCAGCGCCATGTACCCAGCTCCGATGTAAACACCGCTGAGCTCCTAAACTGTCACAGATGTAATTGAGCCACTTGTGCACAAGAATAACAACCAGGTTGTGTGTGCGATGGTCAAATGGCCGAGTTTCCTCCCAAACTGCTGGGTTACAATATGTTCCTCCCAGTTTGACCTTATTAGAAGCTTCTCTATAAACGTCCACCACATGTGAAACATCCTGGTCTCTCCACTGACCCCATTGCTGTCATCACTCTACTCCATGTTTATTGTTATCGGTCTGTGAGGGACAGACACCAAATGATGACGACAGGCCGTATGTGCAGAGGAGGAGACGTTAAAACGACCACATGGATTCTGATCTGACCACTCTGATGGCGGATGCAAAGTCAGAGGTCTGAGAGGAATCGGGTCTAGGAGCACATACGCTGGTGGCCTAGATCTGGTCTGAGGACATCTGGTCTGTTCTGTTCACACTGCTGTGGACTCATCAGGTCTGAGTCACTGCAGCTGTGAACACAACTTTATACTACATCAACATCTAACAAGTGTTTTCATGTGGTGTTAGTAGCGCGCTCTGTCCACAGTGAATCACCTTAACATAAACACAGTTAAATCTCTTCCTCTGCTGCTGCTTCTCCTTGGTCCTCTTTTCACTTGGCAAACAAAACATCCAGCATCTGCTGAGGAGTGTGACAGTCACCTGATAAAATTCTATTTTATGACAAAATGAACAAGAATACAGGTTCATGAGAATGAGCTGCTGTGTGATTGTGTATTTGGATGTTTAACAAGTTAGGGGAAAAAACTTTGTGCCTGTGTTCAGTCTCCTCCTGCTCACTGTGATTTAAAGCAGCTGAAGCCCCCTGACAGTTTCTCTTATTTACATCATTTCTGTTTTCATGTAAAAAGTCAAAAATACTCAGTTTATTATCATGTCTGAGGAAGGAACATGTCATACTTGCAGGCCTAGAATTCATTCAATATTTCTACTTAAAAAAAAAAACAAAAACAAAAAAAACCCTGATATTATAGCAGCAGATGTCTCCTGTCAAGTGACTAATGGGGAGTGAGTTCAGGTTCATCACTCATCGTCAGTGTTTGCCTTGTGTACAACAGCAGGTACATAAAGTAACAGGTGATTGTCACTTACATGTTCACCTTTAGTTTTGACAGAGGAGTTCAAACTGGTCCGATGGCTCCTGCTGCGGTGCGCGGTGCACTGTGGACGTGTTTACCTGTGTCATTATGTCTATGACACGTGAAGCATGCGAGCAAACCAGACAAAGTTTGATTAACCAAAAGAAAAACATGAAATATTCTCATGTTCCAGCTTTTTAATTGTGACTTCTTGTTTGGCCTTGTCTTTTAGTATATGTAAATTGAGTATTGTTGGTGATTTATTAGCTGCTGACAAAACAAGCATCTAATGATGACAACTTGGCTGTAGGGGCTTGTAATGATCATTTATCATTAATCAACTAGCTGGAGCTGCCAACTTTTTTTTTTTTTGATTGATTCAGTAGTAGTTTGTTTTAACATCTCAGAGACCAAAGTGATGGCCAACTGTCAAAACTCAGATACCCAGTTTATGATAATGTAATACTGATACTGATACTGTTGTCACAGTTTTATAGTGGGGAAGCTAGAACCATTAAAGTAAAATTTTTGGTTTAAATTTCTTTTGACTAACGATGAATAGATAATCTGAATTGTTGCAGATTTTGTCAGTTGAGTTGGGGTGCCGTGAGATCTTGTAATATTAAACCATGACGATATTTCTCATTGAGGGGGTGCAGGGGGAGTGTTGTAGGCATGTACGACACCGCCATGTTGTGACGAGTCGACGTGAGCGGCTCCATTCATGTTTCTAGCCTGTGAGTTTCCATTGTGTTTTGGTTAGTCATGCTGCTAACTCCACCTGCTAGCAACTCTACCTTAGCATCAATTCTACAGCCAGCGTGTCGGCATCAGTAGATAAAAACACAGTTTAACATAAGAATATGACATAAAAATATCCAGTACTAACGAAAATGCACGGTGTGTCATCATGGTGCATTAACTGTGGCCCAGATTCCACAGTGAATAACAGTGAACGCTCAGCTAACAAGGTAAACAAGAGTCTCTTTCCCGTGGGTGTCCATGTCCTCAATCGTTCCCCATGTGTGATTGGTCAACACAGCACCCTGGCCAGATGATGTCACCGTCCAGTGTGGTGAGGGTGAAAACAGCATAGAAGGTCACACACAGTTTCAGTTAGAAGTTAGAAGCTCATGCACAGTCCTAAGGTCTGAAGAGACTCTTGTGAAATCCCACAGAAGAGAAGGCCGAGTCTGTGGCCAAACCTTTGGCTGCGCATTGTCGTCTTTTACTGCACATGGTCATTCACACTCATGAAGTAGAACTGAAGGGATGTTCATGATAAGAGGATTAGTTCAATCATTTCAAAATGCAACTGCAGTGTTTTGCATTTTGTGACTTTCAGTCAAATAAAGACCAGTTGTCCAGCCGTATATTTTGTCACTGAAGATTTTCATAAAAACAGTGTTAAAGTCTCATCTTGTTCCTCATGAACCCAATATTGTGTCTCATGAGCTAAGTATATCGTCACACCCCTACGGTTCAGGATTTTTTGCAGCTATGGGTTTTTTTTTTCCTTAAGGGAGATTGAGTTTTATTTCATCTCAACTTTAAATAAGGTTTTAAACAAGGTGCATTAGACATGAGATGAACTGATAATGTAAGGGTGAGTGTCTGTAGGCTGCAGTTGGACAAACTGGGTGTGATGAGCCCTGCAGAGGAAGCTCTGTGAGGAACGACTCCAGCGAACATGAGGAAGTGCTGCTGAATTCAGACTTGTGAACAAAGTGAGCGTCACAGAGTCTGTGTTTCTCTGAGTCACAGTGTGCAGTGTGAAGTTTGCTCTGGTTTGGTTTGGCTAATAAATAGCTGGTGCAGAAATGCCTGACCCAGCATGAGACCATCGTGCTGGAGTGTCTCTGAGCAGCGCTGGCCTGTGACCAGAGGAAGACGGTTTCCTCAGTGTGAGAGGCTTTTTATTTCACAGTGCATTTCCTGTCCTTGTGATCAGTCTTTAACCGTGGGCCCAGGCTGCTGGCACGCTTCACGTGTCGTAGAGCAGGACACTCAAATACAAGGCTTAAAGGTCCATTTGCCACAGCTCCAGGCAGGATGGATTGAGAGAGTGATATTTAAAACTCTACATTTGTGTGTGTTCATCGGAGAAGTGGCACCTTCATTGTGAAAGCTGTAAAACTTGGCGCCAAAGGTGTGATGACCATGCAGAGACCATGTTTTTGCTTTTACACTTATTCTGCTGGTAGATTATCTGTGAGCTCAGCACAAAATGGTTGAACACGGACAGGTTTGTTGTCTCCGTGGTGGTTTTCGCCTGCAATGTCAAAGTTGTGCAGCATTTCGACAGGTGGCGTTCTCAGAGGTCTCGTGTTGTCCAGCCAACAGTCAAAAACTGATGTTCAGTTTGTTGTCATAGATAAAACCAGCAGAACTGAAGCTGCAGCCAGAGAGACAGAGGATTTAAACTGAGCAATTTCAGCTTCAGTTTAAGAGCTGTCATGATTTGTCAGTTGATTATTGGGTGGACAGAGAATTAATCAAATTATGTAGATAATTGATTGTCCTTTTATCCAGTTTTAAAAGGGAAAAACCACTGGTCCAGCTTCTCAAATGTGAGAAGATGCTGCTAGTTTTTGGTTTATATCATATTAAACAGATTTATAGATTATTAGACAAAATAAAACTTTTGTAGATACCTTTTGTGTCTCATCATAAAGGGAAATTTTTGCTGTTAAGAGACATTTTGTAGATAAAATAATTGACAAATTGAGAAAACAATCAGGTTGATCTCAGTGAAAATAATCATTATTTGCAGCACTAAAAGATTTTATTTTTAACAATACAAGTATTTCCTTTTCAGGGTCCTGCAGCCTCCACCACAGGAACAATTCATGAAACCACTTTCATAAATCTCACCACTAAAGCCCACACTGTTCCTACCATGTGGACAATAAATGAATAAAGGATCCATTTGTAGATAAAACAGCTGCACCACGTCAACCACACAGGTGGGTGTAGAGCAGGTCACATGATCCCATCATGAAGAAAACACTCGGTTCTTGTCCAGGCATGAACACATGATGCAGACTGTCGCCACAACGGGGACGGGACTTTCTACGGGACACTGTCCCTGCAGACCTTCAGGTGCAGGTGCATCAGCTGTGGCTCACCACAGTTTTGGAAGTAGCCAGCTGAGCGTGAACCCGCGTTTACATGCAGCCAGTTGTTTTCGTGTAGATCTTATTCCCTCGGCAGGCGGCTCAGCCTCGCTTCACACGGGTGGAGAGGGAGGAGGATCTAAAGGAGGCAGTGGGCTCTGCTGATGAACATGATGCTCACACCAGGAGTAAAAATTGATGTCATATTTCAGTTTAACTTGGGGTCAATGATTTCATTGATTACTTGACAGGAAGTTATTTATCAGCTATTTCAGTAATTCAATATACAAGCGGTGATGCCAGGATTTCTTTGGTTTCAGCTTCAAATATAGTGAACATCTTTGATTTTTACCTGTTGGCCAGACAAAAGACATTTGCAGGCATCACCCCAATCTCTGGGAAACTGATGGACTAAACGATCAAAAAAAATACTGAACTGCCAATCGATGAAGATGACTACTGCCTTTGCAAACCCGAAGATCAGTTTGTCTGAGCTTTGTATGTTGTGCACCTACAGCTCACTGTGCTGACTTGTGTTTTTATGAAGTTGCTACTGTGTTTACTTGCTGCTAAAACCATGAATGACAGCACCGCAGGTCACAGGCCAGTGTTTCCAGCTCTGCTTCATCCCAGCACCGCTCAGAGGTTGTTGGAATGGTTCAGCTGATGGTGTAAACTGCTCTGGCTTCAAACCAGAGATGTGAGAAGGGAGATACCCCTGTGTTTTGTTACTTCCTGTTTGTGTCTTGTGGCATAGGTTGGTTGGAGGAAATGATCATTTCACACAAGTGCTGAAAACCCCAGCGAACTGGGTGTGTTTCCACTCTCTTGAGGTGCTTTCACACCTGTCTGTTTTGTGTTTGTGTATGCCCCTGCCTTTTTTAGTTATTTTTTTGAGCGGAAGTCTCATTTTCTTCAGTGCCCGAGGTTCCTTGTAGTTTCAGCAGTGAGTTAGCATGTCCTGAATGTTGCTGTGAAGCCACACTGGAAACAAAGATCTTCGTTGTACACTAGCTGGTCCATCGTACTCACACTGGCGGTAGAGGCTTGTGTTTTTTTTTTTTTTTTTTTTTTTTTTTTTTTTTTTTTTTTTTTTTTTTTTTTTTTTTTTTTTTGCTGCTAGGCAAAAGTGAAGCGAATATGTGGGCAGCCATCTTGCTATGGTATTTTGATTTTCTGTATGTCCTGCACATATAGTGAATTGACAATAAAAAATCTTTGATCTTTTGTGATACATTTTACAACCAGATTCTGTGCGGTAGAGACCAGAGGTGGGGCTGGGGTTTCAGGCCGCCACTCGAAGCCGTCAGTCGTCTGAAATAAACAACTTTTTATATCATTGAGTAACTTATTAAAAACAAACTTGCCAGATCAATGACCACTTGTACGCACATCAGTGAGATAACTAATTGAATCTCCTGACATGTCTGTGTGCTGAGTCATTGCCACATGGTTGGCTTGTTAGACATGGGCAGATGTACCTAATAAAGTGGCTGACTGTATGTTAGTAGTGTCAAGTGTTACTTAAAAGCATGGGCCTAGTACAAGGAAACCATTTTGGAAGTGAGGGAACAAACTGCACATAGAGGAACAGTGTGATGATAAAAGTGAAACTGTTGTTTGCAGAACTGATGTGGAGCAGTGTTTAAAACCTGCCTTTAACCTGAGGGGATGTTCCTGGTCAAAATCAGGAGGTGAAAAGGTTAAACGTTTGACGTTGACTCACCTTCTCACTCGGAGTGAAACACCTAGCAGTGAAGCTTCTGAGCATCTCTGTGCTGGTGTTTGAGTCCGACCTCTTTTCTGTTTGGCACATTTAGTGGTGTCACGTCAGATTTCTCTGTTTGTTTTGTGAACCTCTGAATAGTCAAAACATCTGTGGGCTCGGTCGGGTACAGGACTCCACCTGCCCCCATTGGCACTCTGCAGTGACATCCCATAATAACCCAGATCTCTGAGGTTTTCTCTGAAACCACTTCCCTCCTCAGCTTCCTGCTATGTTGCAATAAACAGTGGCCTTATTTGAAATTCTGCACATCCTCTGATTATCTCAACCGAATATTCTCGCCCATGCCGACGATTCATGATCACTTTGTGCAGGTTTTCACTTTCCAGCTACAGTCACCATCTTCGGTGTTTCTCCTGTTGTTTGTTTGGTGAAACAGACTGAGACAAATTATAAAAAGACTAACAAGTGTCTTTTTTCACTCTCTCTCCTCCCTTGTCTTCCTTGTTCCGACACCTCAGAGTTTTTAAGAAGTCCAGCCCCAACTGTAAGGTGGGTCATCTTGTTTGTTCTTCAGCAACTGCGGAAGTGAGAAGCTGTAGAAACTGCTTTGCTAGATTGTCAGTGAACACATTACACGCAGTCAAATAACACCTCATTCTAAGCAGAAACACAGCTTTATGTCCCGGGCCAGAGAAGATCAGTATGATTTGCTGCCAGTTACAGGAACAACAGTGTGTTCCTTTTGTGCAGTCAGTTATGTCTAAATGCTATGACCTTCAGTAGAGAGCAGGCGAGCTACACATGCAGAATGTGAAATGTCTCTACAAACAAACAGCTTGGCATAAATGAAGATTCAATTTCCAATAATAAATGGATTAGTAATTAATCAATCTTTTACTGAATTTATTCAGAAACAAAATAAATGGATAAAAACCTAACAGGATCTGCGTTTGGTCTGTGTAGGTAACAGTTTATCTGGGAAAGAGAGACTTTGTGGACCACTTGGACCACGTGGACCCAGTAGGTGAGTCTGCATGTCTGCAGGTTTGTATATTGATGCTTTATCTGGTTTTATAAGTTTACTTTTTTAACAGGGGTTCTAAATTTGTAAAAGTCCTGGAAAGGTTATTGAGCTACAGCGTAAAATGTCATCGATATTTTAACATGAGTAATTATACGTTATGGGAACGATTTTGTCCAGGTAGCTTTATGGTTGTGGTCACTGTAAAGGACTTCCAGGTGTGTCCAAACCTGAGCAGGTAAAAATCCATCAATAGCTTTGAGGGATTATCTCTTTAAAATGCAGCAGAAACAGCCGAATGAACTGTGGACAGAGTTTTCTGATGACATGGCGGTTTGTTTTCCTTCCCTCCTGCTGACAGATGGAGTGATCCTCGTCGACCCCGAGTATCTGAAGGACAGGAAAGGTGAGAGCACTTCCTCTCCAACTCAGCATGTGAAAACAAGGCTGTCTGTTTACAGCCCTCGACGGGCCCCTTCTCAGACTTTCTTATTTTTACATTTGGTCAAAGTGACACCATTAGAAGTAGCAGAATCAGCCCTGGTGAGCTCCTGTCTGACCCACAGATGTACGGACAGCTGTCCCTGAATTACTGTGGTACCAAAGGAGACTTTAAAAACATGAGGAATCTCAGGCAGGTTCTGCATCTACAAGGAGCCTCTGTTTAGGGACGTCTCTTTACAGTGGGCATGGGGGTGATGGTATTCCTGGGAAGTGTCAACCAAACATAGGTGTGTGTCCTTGTGTTTGGAGTTGACTGAGCTGTGCCTCAGCGAGCAGGTGAAGTCTTTGACACAAAGTGCTGCAGTTGAGCACTCGGTGTAATTAACAGCTAATTATCAGTTTCATTCTGTTCTCTTTTTGTTTCTTTGCTTCGTTTGTTCAGTGGGAAACATCTTTGTTTGATTAAAGGTTTATTAAATAGTTTTAATAAGTTTATAGATGACATTTGCATGAAACTATACCTAAATAAAATTTAGGCAAACACCCCCTATTGCTCAGAATAACATTTCATTTTGTTCTGTGATGTTGTCATTAGAACAATATGCACGTTTTTAAACCAGTTCTTCTCCTGTTATACGGTACATTCAACTGAAAACAAGGTTCCCTTAATGAATAAACGCCTTTAACTTTTATATTCTTTAATAATTCTCATGCTCCTGCTTCTTTTTCAGGTTGTGCTTTATTATTATGTTGTTTATCATTAACAAATCGAAGTAGTTTTTAAATGTGGGACACTGGAACCATTTGCGTGTATTGGATTCAGGTTCATTAGAGAAATTACTTTGAATTTCGGCACAAGGTGAGACGTTAGCTTGTACAGCACCTTCAAAGTGCAGTAGGGAAACAGTAAATGTTCTTAACTATGGTTCCTCCTCTTCCTCCGTAGTCTTCGTCACGCTGACCTGTGCGTTTCGATACGGCCGCGAGGACCTGGACGTGCTGGGTCTGTCCTTCAGGAAGGATCTCTACATCTCCACCTTCCAGGTAACCTCCACAAGAGGACACTGGCCAATGCCAGCAAAGTCCATTTACCCAAGTATAAATGGGAGGTTCCTGATTTTTCCTGACTTTGATTTGTGTTAGTGCTACAGTTGACAGGGAAATGTTGTACTTGTTGCTTCACTGAATTTCACAGCTGTACTTTCTTCAGATTTTTTTTCCATGTAATGATTTGAAATCAATTCAGTTTATTTATATATTTATTTTATAAACCAAGTGATCAGTAGATTAATTCAGCCATGAAAACATTCACTGTTTACACCTTAAAGTTGATAAAAACTAACTGTCTTGAACAGGTGTAACAGTAAAACGCTGCTTCAGTAGGAATCTCATGTGAGATGTAACAAATCTCATTTTACGGCATTGAGTGCTTTTACCTTTAATACTTCAAGTACATTTTCCTCATAATACTTTAGTATCATCATCAGTGTTGGACCCTGTAACAGAGTAGGGCTGTGGTTTAGGGTTGTTTTTGTTATTGATTAATCTCATTAGTTCTTAATTTAATTGATTTCGTCTTTCAAAGCCTTATTGCATATGACCGACAATCCAAAATACACAGATACTGTCATGAGTAAGAAAGAGCCATCAAATCCTTATGCTAAGCTAGACCCAGTATTCGACATTTGTGCTTTTCAGAAATGACTCCTGTTGTTAAATTGGCTGCAGATGAATCTGTAATTCTACAGCGTAGTACAGTAAAACCTTGGATTGTGAGTAACCCGGTCTGCGAGTGTTTTGCAAGACGAGCAAAAATTTTGATTTGATAAACGAGCGAGGTCTTGCAATACGAGTAGTCTGTACGCTTTGTCTGCCGAGCGTCACGTCACAACTGAGCCGATGGTTCTCGTGCCTCACTGGTATAGTCAGCATCTGTACTACATCAATGGCCCCTCATGCCAGCCACAATTCTTTTCAAAGGCAAAGTGCAGTTTAATTTGTATTTTTACTTTATAGTGTATTTTGTATTACTGTAATCATTTTTATATGGATAAGTGGTTGTGGAATGAATAATCTGAGTTTCCATTATTTCTTATGGGGAAATTCACTTTGATATACGAGTGCTTTGGATTACGAGCACGTTGCCGGAACGAATTATACTCGCAATCCAAGGTTCCACGTGAATGATCTGAATCCTTCCTGCCTCACTGCTGTCCAGTCAGTGTTGGTCTCCTCCCTGGTGGCTTCAGCCGTCACCGCCTCCTCTCTGTTTGTCAGGCCTTCCCTCCGGTGCCTGAGGAGCGGAAACCCAACAGCCGGCTGCAGGAGAGGCTGCTGAAGAAACTGGGCCAGCATGCACACCCCTTCTACTTCACTGTGAGTCACTGCCCATAAGTTGTTGTGGTTTCTCTGCACAGACTCTTCCAGGAAAATCTTAAGCTGCATTTCCACTAAAACTTTAATTTCCCAGTGTCCAGGGGTCAGGCTTCTCCAGCACATTGTGATTAGTGTTTCCACAGCTGGGGAGATTAAACACATTAGTGTTAGCTGTATCAAATGTGCGGTGGTCACCTTTCATTTGCACATGGTAAATGGATGGGCTTGTACTTTCTATGCAGCACACTCAAAGCGCTTTCATAGTATTTGCCCATTCACCCGCTGACACTCCCAAACACTCTCACACCCCGGTGGGACAGCAACTTGAGGTTCTTGCTCAAGGACACTTCAACATGTGGACTAGAGAATCAAACCGTTGACCCTCCAGTTAGGAGGTGGCCTGCTCTTTATCCGGAGCCACAGCCACTCCTAAAATGAAAAGGGACAACAGAGCCTGGGTTTGGTTGGTTGGTCATAAACTCTCCTCCTGTGCCCTGATTGTTATTGGTCATAAACTACAAGCAAACCATCATGTTTGCAGTTGCAGGGTTTTAAAGATGCCGAGTGAAAATGATAAACCTTCATAAAGTGCCAGCAGCGGTGGACAGTCACCGAGTACATGTACTGAAGTTGAGTACACTAGCCCTCAAAGCTGTTTCATCAGTCATGTTGAAATTCTGTGTTAGACAACCCTTTCTGTCATGTGGTGAAACGCAAACAGGAACCTTTGGTTGTCTTGGCTGCTGTCACTCTGCGATTCCTGGAACTGTTTGATTAACAGGTATAAGACTTCACTGTGACGAGAGCTGGTCTGAGAGCGTCAGTTTATGAAACTGAGGAGGAAATGCTGCAGGAAGTCGAGATGTACAAACGGCGTCAGTTTATGAAACTGAGGAGAAAATGCTGCAGGAAGTCGAGATGTACAAAGCCTTCTGATGCTGCTTCTTCCCAGTAGCCTGGTTTCCTGTGTGGTGGTGGGCTTTTGCTGCATATTAGATATTTGTGGCTGATGTCATTGGAGTCGTGATCGTACCTCTCACTGAATTAATTAACAGCTCAGCGTCGTCGGCTCGACCTCGCAGCTGCTTATGCATGAGCGGCAGCCAACGCACAGACTTACTGTTAATGGGAGAGGGGTGTTGATAGACGTCCGCAGGTGTCTTTATAAATCTGTGTCATTAACCTCTGAGATCTGAAGCAGTTTGTCTTAATTAACATAACTGATTGTGGGCTCACCAGGTCAGGTGAGAAACAGACCGTTGCATCTATCAGTCTCTGTGACGTTGATTCACTCTCTTCAGTTTTAGAGTTTAGTGTTACTCTTTAGACCTGAACCTATTATTTTGATCATTAATGAATCTGCTTGTTCTTCCTGATAAATCAATTTATTATTTAGTCTATAAATGTCAGAAAATGGTGAAAATTGTCAGCTTCTCTGAGTTCAAGGTCGCAGATGGTTTTGTCCGACCAACAGTCCAAAAATATTCAGTTTACAAAGATATAACACAGCAGATCATCGTGTTTGAGAGGCTGAAACCATTTTTGTTTTTGTTTTTTTTTTGTTTTTTTTTTTTAATTAATCATCATACCCTCCTCGTATAAAGAAAGTGATCCAGTCTGATTAAGGTATAGAACGTTCACCCTGATTGATGAATGTGACAGTTACAGACGGGTAACCCCAACTATCTTTGTTTTTCTCTCTGCTGATTCAGATTCCTCAGAACCTGCCCTGTTCGGTCACTTTACAGCCCGGCCCAGAGGACACTGGAAAGGTAACACACACACATTTAACATGTAAAGCTTTAGAATGGTTCTGCGTTTTCCTGAACTCCTGTAAATGTTGCTAAACTGTGCAGTTGAAACATTTGCTTTTTTTTTTTTTCTTTGGGGTGTAGAACATGATGCTAGTGAACATATGAAAAAATAATTTTTATGAACACATTAAATAAGATCCAGAAGGGTTTGAGCTTATTCTTTGTTTTTAATGCTTTCTGTGGTTGAAATAAAAGCAAAACATTGACTCAGCACTTTTCATATTGTAATTACTTTCACTTCTGTCTTCTTTGCTGTACACATGATCAATGTTCAGCTTCTTCCCGTTTTTTTCACATTAAATGCCTTGCTGTAAAAACCCTGCAGCTGTTCCTTTAATGTGAAAATTCTGGAGAATGTCATCACCGGTCTAGAAACCTTTGCAAGGCAAAATTTAAAGCCTGCTTCTGCAGTGCAGCAGCCTGGATGTGGTCTGTCGTGGTGGTGAACCCATCTGCCTCCTCTCTCCTCAGGCCTGCGGTGTTGACTTTGAGATCAGAGCTTTCTGTGCCAAGTCAATAGAAGAGAAGATTCACAAGAGGTGAGAGAAACTGGCTCAGTGGATTTCTGAGGATCCACATTGAGGACATATGACACTCAGAGTGTACATGAACAGCTGCAGGTTAGACAAAGTTAAATCATAGTACCACTCAGGAGCTGGAATGCTTTTCTTTACCCAGGTGTTGTGTAACTACAGTATTTGAATCCTCTGTGTGTGTCGAGCAGATTTGTGTGAAGTATTTTATGTGTGCAGGAACTCGGTGCGTCTGGTGATCAGGAAGGTTCAGTATGCACCAGAAAAACCTGGTCCTCAGCCAATGGTGGAGACGACCCGCAGCTTCCTGATGTCTGACAGGTCCCTGCACCTGGAGGCCTCTCTGGACAAGGAGGTACACAAACACATACTTCTGTAGTATCAGTCTTCTTGTGATCGGAAGTGTGTTTAGTTTGGACAAACAGCTGCTCACATCTGTCTCTGGTTTCTCTAAATCAGATGCACATCTGGTTTGTAGTGACACAGAACACGCTCCGTGCAGAGCTGCAGACTGAGTACATTTATTCAAGTACTGCACTTAAGTAGGGTTTTGAGGTATTTGTACTTGACTGTTTCTGTTCTTTTTACTACATTACAGTGTATTTCAGGGGGAATTGTGCCACTTTTTACTGCACTACATTTGTCTGACAGCTGGTGTGCATACAACACATCGTTACAGATGGAACCAGTGGCTCCTGTTTGTCTCCTCGCTCTTCATAAAAACCAGTGTGTGGTCAAGTTAGAGTCCAAAAACTTGAGAGCTGTGTAGAAACTTGTCCCATGGCCCTTTGGAGGGGCCTGGTCCTTAGGTTGGCAACCGCCGGACTAAACTAGCTGACTGTATGTTCAGAGAAGGAGCAGTAGTGTGTATATACTGTATATGAAGTAGTTCAAACCAGCTCAGCAGTGAAGTGCTGCTATTGATCACTCTGGATCAATAATCTGATTGTGTCAGTACAACGAGTACTTTGACTGCTAGTACTTTAACACTGAACTGAGCATACTTCACTACTTTTTCTACTGAGACTTTAACGATGTGACGCTGATAATTCTTCAGTAGTTCTACTGTTGATACTTTAATTACATAAAGCCAGTCATCCTGTGTACATTTACTACTGATACTTTAACTGTATAAAGTCAATAATACTTTTACTGCTGATACTTTCACGAAGCTCTTAATGCCTGTGTACTTTGCTACATGGAGCACATAATAGCTGTGTAGTTTTACTACTGATACTTCAGTAGCATGAGGCTGACGGTACTTTTAATCTTGTGATGTTTAAAGTCGCCTACTTTTTACTTTGTTACTGCAGTTTTTTTTTTTCATTCTCCAGCTTTTTTTGTTCTAAATTTAAGTACCTTTATAAAAAAAACCTGTGGTGATAAATGTTTTTTTTCCCCTCTCCCATCATGCACTGCGTGTAGCTGTATTACCACGGAGAGCCCATCAGCGTCAACGTGCACGTCACCAACAACTCCACCAAGACCGTCAAGAGAGTGAAGATCTCCGGTTCGTCTGTCTTCCTGTTTCTCCAGTTGTGTTGACGTTAAGTTCTGAATGTACTCGCTGACTCTCTCTCTCTTTCTGTTTGTGTCGCTCGCCCTCTCTCGCTGCAGTGCGCCAGTATGCAGACATCTGCCTGTTCAGTACTGCCCAGTATAAATGTCCAGTGGCCCAGCTTGAGGCAGAGTAAGTCACAGTTTACTCTCTCAAAAAATAGATGTTAAAACTGGTTTTAAAACCAATTTCACAACATAGAATCTGGTGTAAATGGGACATAAATTGCTTAAAACCAAAGGTAAACTGGGTTTAAACTACTGGTTTAAAAGTGTACACAAGTTATAAGCTGTTTAATCCAGTATAAGGTTAATATGTATGGGTTCAAAGCAGAGAGGCAAATTAAAGTAGGACAAAAGTGTTTAAATGATAAACTGGTTTAAAACTTGCTCACAGCAGCAACAGATCGATTTAAACTGGTAGAAAGTGCAGGTATACTCATGTTTAAACCTGCAGTAAAATGGATTAAAATGTATTTAAACAAGAGAAACTGGTTTGAACTAGAAATAAACTGGACTGAAAGGAATTTAAAGGGTTTTAACTGGATTTTAAACCAGTATGAGCTTTTAATAAACAGGTTTGATTCACCCAGCGTAAAGTTATATAATGTATACTTGTTTAAACCAGAGCTAAATATTATACTAACACAATGTTTCATTTAAAATTTGTTATTGATTTGCCACCCAGCCTGTAATGTTAACTAACTGATGGACAGTTTGATTGGCAGCAGTATCTTGTCTCCATAGTGATCAGGTGTCGTCCAGCTCCACCTTCTGTAAGGTGTACACTCTGACCCCGACGCTTGACAAGAATAGAGAGAAGAGAGGACTCGCCCTGGATGGAAAACTGAAACATGAAGACACCAACCTGGCCTCCTCCACCATGTAATGTGCACACATACACAGATATTTACAGGTGTGTTGGTTCAGTCATGTGACTGCAGTGCTTTGTGTCTTTCAGTGTGAAGGACGTTACCAACAAAGAGGTTCTGGGGATCCTGGTGTCCTACAGAGTCAAAGTGAAGCTGGTGGTCTCACGTGGAGGGTATGACACACAAACACTTCCTGTAGTTGTGAGGACACTCGTGACGTAACGCACCACCTAGACCCTTATCTCAACCAAAACCTGATTCTAGGACCAGGTCTGAACCCTTAAACAGCCCTCTGAAGGAGTGAGGATGTAGTGAGTGAGGAAGTAATGTGTGTGAGTCCAGACCCTGGTCCACCTCATCACTCTGTGCCGTAGACCTCCACTGCTGTCTACCAGCTATTAACCCCCCCCCCCCCCCCCCCCCCCCCAGAGCCCCACTTCCCCTTCAGTGAGCCACAGTACTGCACGGGAACATGGGAGGCCGTCTGCTTCCAACACAGAGCTCCAACACATTGTTTTCAGTTATGTCAGTTACTTAGCCTGCTCTACTTTTATTGTCAGGGCTGCAGGATGCCCAGTATACATGGTAAAAATACATACAGGCTTGAAAGTGTCAGATCTATTTACATCAGCAGCCTGATCTGCTTGTTTTGTTGACATGATATGAATTTGGGAGTTGCTGCTGAAACTGATGTCACATCAACTGATGGTCTCGCCCTGCGGGAACTGACTGATGCACACCTGGTGCCCTGATTGTTCAGATGACGCTTCTTTCACCTCACAAACCACAGGGAGGTTGTCTCCCCACCTGCCTGCAGCAAGCACACACCCAGCAACAGACAGCTTTGCTTTGACCTGTCACTGAGGTCACAGTCAGTTACAGCATATACAACCCTGCTGTTTGACTGTGACGGTCATGACCAGCTGAACACGGGGAGATGCTGCCTGAATCTTTCCACATGAGTGTTTGAGTCACTCACCCACATCAATTCTCAACGTTTGCTCGCACACACACACACACACACACACACACACACACAGTGAAGCTAATGTACGTTGGCACAGAGAATGTTTTAATGGCAGCTGGCAAACCAGCCTTTCCCCAGGGGTGCGCTGGATTTATAACCAGAGAGAGTGTCAGAGAAATGGAGCGTGCCACAATAATCGTTTCATCTCCATTATTTTGTTTTACTAATTGTTGGAAGCCAAAATTGTAACTGAAAATAAAATGAAGTCAGTGGCACAGGCCTGGTACAAAGTGACAGCCATGCCTAGCCTTTGGCGCTGTTAAAAAAAAAAAAAAAAAAAAAAAAAAAAAACAGATGCCTCACATGTTCCCTGAGGACAATGGATTCTACACACTGTGTCCCTCAGACTCTGCTGACATCACTTCCTGTCTTCTCAGCCTCACTGGTCCTCCTGTAAATATCATCAGATGTGTTTCAAGCTCTTTCCCAGACTCCTCTCGATGAAACACTTGTGGCTGAGCTGCACCCACATGAACTTATAAAACAGTCATTATCCAGGTCCTGATCCTGTGTCCTCTACAGTACTGCACAGCACTGTAAGCACTAAAGGTAAAGTGATAACCGCCTGCCAGGTCTCCTCAGCCCACCTGCACACAGTGCGCACAGGTACGTGGCAGGTCGGCTTATCCAGCATCTGGGAGAACCTGCCACACGTCTCCTTCTCAGGCTGTTTCAGTGTCTCTGTCTCATTCAGAGACGCTGCAGATAGACAGGCTGCAGGGTGAATCAGGCACTGATCAGCTGCCTCCCTTGAAGAGTCGCAAGTGCCTAAAGCTTTTGCACATACTGAGGTTTATGTGGTCTCTGAACAGGCTTAATCATATTGATTTAAACGAAAAGATAATAGACACGGATAGGTGAGAACTGAAAGGACAAACTGCTGGAGACACTTGTTAGAAAAGCATCTCCAGTAGTTTTCCACCAGGCAAGATCCTAAGAAAGAGATGCAGACCCTACACTGCTCAGACCTTTAAAACAGCCCGTGCCTCTGAATACAGGAAGGAAAATGAAAATAGTAAGAACTGAGATTTTGAGCTCAGTTGAACTAAATTCTGGCTGCGCGTCAGTGACTCCGTGTGGGTGCAGCTCGGCCTCAGGTCTCTGCTCGGTGCTATAGGTGCTCCTCACTGTGTTTGCTTCCACTGTAGGTTGTTGTGAACGTGCTGCCTCCTGCTTTTCATTTCACCTCCCCTCTGTGTTTTTGGCTTTTTGTCTGCCTCCCCCTCTGTGTGTCCTCCCCTGCAGGCTGCTGCGAGGCATGTTGGAGAGGTAAATGCGACTGACAACCTCAGTCTTCATTTAGTCTGATCTGAATCCAACGGAGCATGTGAAGTATAAAAACGGAGGGTTTAATGAGAAATGATGATAACTTGCTCTGAGTTTTTCTATCACAGTTCGCTGGTTTAAATTGGGATTAAGAGCTTGGTTTAAAACCTGATTGTGACATACGGATAGTTTTAATTTGGCTGTAAACTGTATTAGAGTGGGTTTAAACTGGTTTGTTTGAATAAGAGAAACTGTTTTCAAATGATGAACTGATTTGAGCAGTTAAAAACCCAGTTTTATAAGTGATGCATCTCTTTAGTCTCCATATAAATGGGTTTAAACTAGTTTTAGTTGCATCTAAACTGGATTAAAGAAAAGCATGAGGCTAAGCAACAGACAAATGGCTTTATAAAAATTTGAACAGGATTAAAATGGGTTTTAAACTGGTTCAAACCAGACTAATATAATTTTAAATGTTAAATTGGATTCATAAGACAGTCTCAGACGTTTTTAATGTGAATTTGATAAAATGCCAGGACTCCTCCGTGTTTTCTGATGCCTGTTTTAATTTGCTGTTGACACAGACGTCCTCCATGTTTACCTTGTGTCAGTACAGCGGCAGAACTGTGTTGTAAACATCAAAAAGCTTTTATGGATCCAAGGAGGTGGAGCAAGCGGTTTCATGCACAGGTGACCGTGTCTGTTGTTTTTCAGGGACGTGTCAGTGGAGCTGCCCTTCATCCTAATGCATCCCAAACCTGTGGAGCCGCCGGTGTCCCGCCCACAGTCAGGTGACCTCACAACCTCACACGTGTGTCTTTACTGAAGGGAAAGGAAAGTTAAAAAATAGACTGGCTTCAGAAAGTGTTCTTCAGTTTTAAATAGATGGAAGTGTTTTTTTTTTTTTTTACAGTCAGTCTACACTCAGTAATCCAGTTGACCCACAGCCAGCTGGGAGACACCACTGGATGTCCAGACTGGTGCAAAATGCAGATGCATTTTTGGAGCTGCAGTCTGAAAATATTTGATTTTATTTCACTACTTTGCTTGGGGGGGGGAGCGATTATCAGAATGGTTTTCAGTGAATTGTCTGTCAACTAGTCAACTAATCCTTCAGCGTGCCCTGCCTCTGACACACTGCTCTATCAGCCGTTATGCAACTCTGGCCTTTTCCATCCTTGTCGCTTCTTTATTGTGCGCTGAATCTCCATGGAGACGAGAAGCAGTTTCCATGGAAACAGTGTGACATGTTATAATGTGTGTGTCTGTGTGTGTGTGTGTGTTACAGCTGTGCCAGAGACGGACCCCCCCATCGACACCAATTTAATAGAATTCGACACAAAGTAAGTATGAAGCCTTTATTTAAAAACTACATACTGTTCATCTTCATATCCACTCGCCAACACACGCGAGTTCTTCCTCGATTTTCACATCTTGTCAACAACTTGCACTATTTGTCTTTATGCTTTAAGCCAGAATCCATTTGGATGAGCAGTAATGCTCTCCTGTTCTCCAGTAAATCCACTGGGCTTCAGCTGGGCAGCTGGCTGTGTTGATGGTAGAGCACATATGATTCCTGTCTCCCAGCACTGACACAAAAACAGTACTTTTTTTCCAGTACATGAAGAAATGCAGGTGCTGGGAACAGACCCTGCGTCTGTGTTGTCATTGTGAGGATACTTGCATTAGCATTTACAGTGAGGAACAGAAGTATTTGAACACCCTGCGATTTTGCAAGTTCTCCCACTTAGAAATCATGGAGGGGTCTGAAATTCACATTGTAGGTGCATTCAAATACTTCTGTTCCTCACTGTAGTTCAAAGCACTGCTAGCATGACTGCGGACTCATAGTCTTGGTTGTGTTCTGGTCGCTAAACTTCAGTTCGTTAATCAGTAGGTCACAGATGACAACATCCACTTGGTGCAGCTCAGTGCTAAATCATTGCATTAATAAATAAAAGCCCTCCCTTTGCCTTCTCAGCAGCATCTCCCAGGACGACGACTTCGTCTTCGAGGACTTTGCCCGGCTGCGGCTCAAAGGCATGGTGGACGACAAGGATGAAGACTGCTAGGAGCTCACTTCAGAACCACCACACACACCCCCACAAACACACACCTACACTCTTCACATTACATTCCCCAGTGGAGGAGGCGGATTAGGGCATGTCATGACGGGGGCCTCGCAGAGGCTCGGGGGGGTTCTTCCTCTCTTTCTTCCACCATTTGTCACGTTGCCGCCATTTTTTGCCACTGTCTTTTCTGTTTCTCCTTTTGCTGAAGGTTGAAAAACTGTCAATGTTAACTGTAGCACATGTTTTCAATCTGGATCGAAATCTCTGCTGTTTGTTTCTTTGTAGTCAAGCTTGGTTTGATTAGAAAAAGATGTGCAGGAAGCCGACGAGTGGCAGAATCAGCAGTGCTTGTTCTCCTTTATTTTGAAATGGTTTTGGATGTCGACCGTTTCCTGCAGCAACGATCACAGTCTTGTACAAACAGAATATACATTTGAAATATAGAAAAAAAACTTCTGTAAGCATTTGAGATCTGTGTTCAGTGGTGATCACTGTATTTCTTGAAGTAAATGCTGTAGATGCTTTTTACATCGTGGCTGCAAAGGGAAGAAACACAAACACACTCACAGCTGTCTCACACAAGCGACTGAAGTTCGATTTCACCAGCATCCACTCTCCTGCTCTCGTCGCACTCCAAACTTGAACTCCCCTCCCCGTCACCCAGTTTGTAAAATGCTCGTCACATCCGGTCGGTCGCATTTCCTTTCTTTCCACTTCACACTGCTCTTTAAGAACCGTCCAGCGTTTATGGAGTTGTTTCCTTTTATTCAAACACCTTCCATCGGTCAGGGCGCTCTGTTGTGTGCGTTTGCCTTATTGTCTTCAGATTTCGTGAAAGGATCCAAACCAAACACTAGAGACGGCTCACAAAGGTATATTTTTATTTATTAACTAGACCTGCAAGTGAGCATTAATGGCATAACATTGTAACCGAATCAGCACTCAGCCAGCCCGATCAGTGAGGCAGCGGCATTTGTCATTTTGAGACGAGACGTGAAATTTATTACTCTAAGGAAGTGTAGAATGTATGGAACAGTGGGGTTATTGTGGTGAAAAAAACTTTGGAATAATGTGAGAACATCATAATTTCACTAGAAACACATCTGAAAAAATGTTTGTTTCATCCACTGGATCCCACTGAAGGCAGCAAGTCTTCAGGAAAAGTCTCACCGATGTGGAATTCAGACTTTAAACTAGACTTGCAAATAGATATTTTGGGGGTTAACGCTGCCATGCAGGGACTGTGATCAGGCCAAATGACTTTTTAAATTATCACTATTCTTAATATATGTCAGGATGAGCATAAAAAAACAACAACTAGACCTGCAGTGAGAGATACCAGGGTCCAAGCGCATGACTGAACTAACTGTTCCAGGTGATGTCCACTGTTTTTTGCAATTTGGCGTCAGTTTAAGTAAAAACAAAAATCTGTTAGTTGAAAATTTTTACACAAACATCTGTAAAGGATGAAATAGACAATTTCACAAATGTAGATTTAGCATATTTTGGGACAGGCAGGTGTACAGTACAGTGGAGTTTGGTTTTCTGTTTTCGTGGCGTTTCTTGACTAAAAACTCTGGAGTTTCACCTTTTCTTGCTGCACCAGGTTTGATGACCTATATTTTAAACCAGGTTTCTGATGTTTCTCAGGCTAGTTTAGCGAGAGATTCGTTTCTGCCAGGGATGTTTAACACTGAGAAACAAAAGCTCTAGTCAGGTTTTTTTTTTTTTTTTTAAAAAAATGTTTGTTTTCTTCATGGATTTATGTTTGTGAATGAGATTAGTCGCATATTCAAACCTGAGTTTTTAAGAAGTTGTTCACAAGTTAGTCTGTAAATGAAGCAAATTAAATAGAATTTTAACACAGAAATTGAAATTGTCACCATTTCCTTCTTAGTTTTAATAATAAATGGCAAAAATGAACATGAACACATCTAAAAACCACCAAACTGCCCACAGTGACAGACATCTGTAAAATGAGCACAAACACTGGAATAGGTTTTTAAACCACAGGCCAGAGTTGGACGTCAAGTCACTTGACTTGGTGTAAACGGATCCAAATGATCAGAAACCAGATCCGTTTACATCTGACAGACTGTAAAAGTGAATTACTTTTCAGAAAGACAGATTAGTTCTTGCGCCAGTCCTTTAGTTAAGTACTTTAAAACTAAAGTTATACCCGTTGTGTGTGTGTGTGTGGGTGGAGCTGAGCGGTAAAGTCCGTTTCTACTGTTGTTTTTTTTTTTTAATCCAATGACATGAAGTGATTAGCTGAAATGGTGCGCAACTCGACCCCACCTGGTTTAAACAAACTTTCATCCTCAGCTTGTTAAAGGATAATACTGGTGATTCTGTTTGGCTCATTGTCATCGGTGCCCCCCAACCCCCAGCACCGGATCGACCAAATGTTCATCTCTGTGGGATCAAGCTGCATCTTGAACAATAGTAACAGCTGTAAACTGTACTGTGCCTTCTGTGCCATATTATTTTATCGGCAGCCCCTCGATTTGTTTCTGTGGCTAAAATGGAATCTGCAGCGTTTTCAGTGTCAAACTGAGGCGAATCCCGTTTTGTCGCCCAGCAGTTTAATAGTTGTCTGGGTGACATTTCAGTGTCACAGGTTTTGTTTAGTCATAGTTTTATAGTACGAGTTAAATGTCAAATGCAGGAGGATAATCTAGTAAATAAAAAGCCCCATTCAGACCTACATGACGGTTCAAATTTATTTATTTTTTTAAGTTGTCTCATAGTTTTGCCAAGTTTTTTTCCTTTAAATTATGGCTCAATTCTTGTAATTATTTTTTAAAAGCTGATTTTATATAAACATCTTGTAATGTTATAGTATATTTCCAAGATTTGTTGAACGTCTTCATAACAGCTTGTTCTCTAGATGTCTGGTAAAAATAATGCTGTGTCAAATTATCAACGGAAAAAAAAAACTCAATCTGCGTCCTAATATTTTTGTATTATTGTATAATTCTAACTTTTGTAATATATTACAGCTACTTGTAAAAACTTAACCATTCCTGAAATATTCTAACTTTAAAATTACTTTATTCTCAGTATTTATCATAATACCACATTCTTGTAATACTTGACACTTTCTCGTCCAAGTTGCATTACAACTTTTTTTCTTAAACAAATACTGATACTCTGAGAGCGCGCCTCTTGCCTTTTCCCTTGAAGGTATCATAGAACAGTGTCTAGTTTTGTCTCATAAGAGTCTTTCAGTATTTTCTTAGTGTAAAATTGGCTTTTATTACTGAAATATTGCAGCTCATTTTCTTCTAGCTACAACTGATGTGTCAGTATTTGATTAAAACCTTATTTCTGAAATACTGTGACATTTTCCTCTTAAAATGACTTTGTCAGGGTTTGTATTTTGTTTATTTCTTTTTGCAAAACTACATCACATTTCAAGTAGTCATACTAATACTCTGCCAGGTTTTTGTGTTTCATATAAATGTGAAATACCAAATTCTACTGATGCAGTGCCATGAAAATCTCCACGGCCAGTAGAAGACAGATGACAATAAACCAAACGGTACCAGTGTTTCCTTCAAATCAGAATCATCCTGTGTTTAATTTAACTTTAGATTTGGTGGGTAATACGATTCTCCGCTCCATTTCCCCTAGGCAGGTTTCTTCCTGATGAAATCGGGTGGATGGGAGTAAGTCGGGGTTTCCAGTGTAGCTGTTAAATCTGTCTTTTTAGTGAGTTTTGTCGATTCTACACCCAAAAAGCTGCAGAGCAACATGTCACATGATAGAGCACCGCACTTTCATTGGTCAAACAAACCCACAGAACTGCAGGTGTTGTTTTCTGGCTTACTTCAGGAGGGGATGAAGAATGTTTTTATTTTTGGTAGAGGTTTGTGTTTTTGCTGAGCTTGAGGCTCATTGGGTCACTGGCCTCCTTATCACAAACCTCTTTTGGTTTTGGTATCTACAGTCAAATTCCCTCTCTCCTGCCAAACCAGAAGGGATGAAGGGATGAAGAAGGAACCAGGATGGAGCATGTTGTATTTTTTTTTTTTTTTTTTATTTCAAGCAGTGCTGTGAATCGTACGAGCTGTGATTCTGTCCTTATTTTGATGTGCATATGTGGGGTGACTTTGCTAAGTGTGAAAATATTTTTGACAAGTGCCCCGGCCTGTGCGACGCATACCACAATGTCTGTAAGACAGGAGGCAATTTCTGCTGGTGGGGTGAACACCAGAAAAGATGGAATTATGATTATTATGCTTCTGATTATTATTATTATGGTGACTATTACTTCTACTGTATCATCACTGCGACCATGATTATTCTCATAATCATTTAAGTCTATTGTTTTGCCATGTATTTTTTATTTTGAGATTTTTATTTTAGTTTTGTTTTTATTATTAAAGGTAAAATGAACTAACAAATGCTGCTGTTGTGGTTCTTTTGCAGCCTCTAACGCGTGACTGACGTCCCCCACAAACTGTGCAGGTACAATGGGACTGAACGGGGTTGGTGCACAGATAAGATGAAACAAAGTCCACTCCTGCGATATCACTGACATTGTAATAGTTGATTTTAGGCTGATGTTTGAGTTTACGTATAATTACACAAACTGTTAGACTACAATGAAAACTCAGTTCAACTGTCATGTTTACCTGCGACTGCTGCAAGAAAAGGTCAGTTTAAATGTGACCACAGCAAAAGTTGACCTGTGACTACATTCATATACATGAAACTAAGGAGCTGACCTGTGACCACAGCAAAAAAAAAATTTTTTTTTTAAATGTTTTAATGATCGTGTGAATGGCCTGAAGTTGGCACTCTGACATCCGAGTGATGGTGGCAATAAAAGTATTTGACAGAAAAATGTTCCCTGTGACGAGTAGCATTTTACACGGGCATTTCACAATCAGAGTACTTCCTCTACCCAATAAAGTCAGCATCCTGGAGTACTCCACCACTGCAGTGATATGAAAGACCTTAACCACCAGAGGTCAAACCAGGATTCTCAAAAGTTTAAAGCTGCCATGTTAACACTCAAACCATTATTACTGTGCGAATGTGATACAGCTCATGTATGGAGGAGGTTCTGGTGGAGTGTCCTCTTAAAAACAGCCTCAGCTCAGTTTTCACTTTATTGCAGTTTATTGTAAATCATAGTGGAGCATGTTTCCAGCTTCAACTGTTAAACCTGAGACAGACCTCCCAGCAGTAAACTCCCAGTGTGAACAGGTGGTTGTCTTCCCCGGTTAAGCTGGTGTCCTAGGAAACGCAGACTAACTATCACAGTCACTGGACCAGTTTCCGGTCAGAACAGTATCAGGGTCAGTTTTTTTAAGGTTGTTTAAAAGAAAGCCATGAATGTCTTCAGCCTCGTCGTCATAAAGCGTCATAGTCGTTGTCGTCTTCGTGCTTCCTCTTCAGCGACTCCCCGGCGGGGTTCTGCGACACCATGTTGGTGGTGATGAGGATGTTTTTGGAGCCGATCAGCGACGGGTTGATGAGGACGTTGGAGACGGCCGGCGTGGACGCCGCTGCTGTGGGAAAAAATTGAGCAGCAGGAGTGAAGCAGTGTAGTTTCATATATTCACCAACAGGTGAGGAACGTCACAGTTGACTGTGGCTTCATGATAAAAGACTTTTTATAGTTAACTCTGACTTAACATTTTTTGTTCTACCATTTTTGTCGAAAAACATTTTTCAACGTTAAATAAGCCCATTTATTCACCGAGCTCCATACCGATGTTGATGTGACTGTATAGGATGTGTAAGTGGTTTGAGCCCTGATGTTAAACCGTTATCAGATTTAAATAAGTAACTGGGAGAGACCGGTTCTTACTGGTTTTAGTGATGGCAGTCTGAGGGGGCTGTGGGATCTGCACAGTGAACCTCTGACCAGTCAGAGACACTGGAGCTCCAACTTTAGTGGTAACGGACTGGACAGACGGCGTTCCTGTGGAGGAAACACTGGTGAGAACATACTGGTCCAGTACATCCAGACTGGCCTGGCTGCAACTAAATAAAAGCCATATTTATTTAGTCTTCCAGCGTGATACCTACATCCAAGAACTCCAACCATAAGCAGCTCAATGATTTTAAACCAATGCACTTTTTACAGTCTGTATGAAACTAACAAACAGAAAACCACTGCTTCATCCTCTGAGGATCTGTGGATACCCTGCAGTAGACGCCTTCATCTCCACAGCACCTGCAGACCTGTGTTGTCCCTACTTTGAAGACATGTTGAACGCCTCACAGCTGCATTACAGAGGCTGGTTTACATGATCAGACTCACCAAGAGCCGGTGTGGTCGGTCTGCTGGAGACGGCGCCAACGCTGAGGCGAGGCACCGATATCCTGCCAGCAGACGTAGACACCTGGAGGAAATAATACACAAATCACAGTTGGATGGTGTCTAAAAGGAAGAGCAGGCTTTGCATGAAAAACCTGAAATAAAAGCTAAAGCTGGACAGTTTTTAACCTTCTTCTGTATGGATTTGAGTCTGTAGTTGGGCGCGGTCAGACAGTAGCGGTCTGGAGGAAGTCGAGGGCCGGTGTAGGGTTTGATGAGCGGGAGAGGAGCCTGGTTCTTCTGTCTTGCAACCTCCAACAGGAACTGAATACACAGCGATGCAGGAAATACAGATTTAACATAAAAATGCATAGAAAAATAAAGTGTGGGGAAAGTCTGAACATCGACAAGATCCATATGCATTGCAGTTTGTGTCCACAGGAAATGCAGTCAGAAGTAGAGCACCTTTTCTTCACCAGCCCTATTTATAACAGATTAACAGTTGTGTAGAGATTTTTCAGAGAAATCTGCAATCTATCAACAGAAAATCGGATAACTGAGCAACAACGAATCACTTTTCAAGCAAAACAGCCAAATATCGGATGGTTCCAGATTGTCACATAGAACAACTTGCTGTGTTTCCTTCTTCTCTTTTATTTAACCAGGTAAAAACCCATTGAGATCACGATCTCTTTTACAAGGGTGACCTGGCCAAGAGGTCAACAACACATGTCGTCAATACATAAATTTTAATACAAATCAAAAACAAACATTTAAACAATCAAAACCATAAATACAATAATCAACAATAGAACCAATTTAAAAACACCTACACTGACCAATAGAGTCCTGTTGCCTAAGAGCCATAAGGGAATAAAAAGCTTTAACTGATCATAATTCAGTAAGTTTAAAATCTGCTTGGAAACTATTCCACGAAGAGGGAGCGGCAAATCCAAAAGCCCATTTCCCCTTTTCAGTCCGAACTCTCGGCACCATGAGCTGATACTTATCACAAGACCGTAAGGCATATTTGGTATCCGATCTACGTAAAAGAGAGCATAAGTATGCCGGGGCTAGGCCTACCAAAGCCTTGTACACTAGCACCATCCAATGAACATGTCTTCGCATGCTCAGAGACGACCACTGTCTGCGATCTTGCAAGGAAAAGCAGGATTTATTACGATAAAAGAATCCAATCTTCGCCCGTAATTTTCGAACCACATTAGCAATGTGGGTTTTAAAAGACAACTCACAATCAAGTAAAAGACCTAAGTACTTATGGCTAGAAACCAGCTCAATCGACACTCCCCGATCTGTTGTTGTTGACAGCTCCTGTAAATGCAAAAATACCATAACCTTAGATTTCTTGGGATTTAAGACCAACTTCAGCGCCCGTAGGCGAAACTGAACAATGTCAAATGCATGTTGTAAGCATGTTGCTTGTCCTCCTTGTCCTACGTTACAGTAAATGTCATCTCTTTTGGTTTTAAACTAGTGGTCGTTCACAACAAGACATCTGATGACATCACTTTAAGCTGCAGCCTGAGGAATTCTGACAGTTTTCTGAAGTTTTACAGGGCAAATGGTTCATGGAGAAAACAATCAGCAGATGCATCAAAAATGACTAACTGTTAGTCACAGTCCTGTGTGCATGTTGAATCCAGCTCATTTAGATGTGGTAACAGATGTTGGACACTGTTGGACTGTAAGTTCTCTAGGAAGAATTAACAATTCTTTCTTTTCCAGCTGAAACATCTGAACTCATAAGAAGCAGCACAGTGCAGTCTTACGTCTCGAGGAGGCGGCGAGGTGAACGACTGGTCCATGCGGCACTGGATCGCCAGTTTGATGTCATCAGCATCAACATTGGACTTCTTGGCGTGTGTGGCGTAAATTTTGGCGTCCTCAAGGATGGTTGTCACATACCCTGCAAATAAGCAGCAGCTGAGTCGTTTCCGATTAACTGATTATAATAGTTTTCCACTGACTCCTCGATTATTCAACTAATTCTTGCTGCTCTAAAATTAAGACAAATGTTAAATGATGTCTAAACACAAACAGCGGCACTGAAACGGAATGAAATTCAGTCTGGAAATGGAAAACCGACGATTTAAATCCAGACCAATCTGACCAAAGGAAACGCGCTGTTTGCTGACTTACTGTAGGTGAACTCCAGCATCTGGTTGATGACTCGGGGCTCGTACTCTGTGATCCCCATGTCCTTCAGAATCTGGATCATCACCTGCAAAGCACACAGGTAGGATCAGACAACATGACAGTGGCGTGAATAGCCTGCAACAATCAGAATTAATTTTGAGCTTTCTGAAATCTTTTGCCATCAATACACTTACTTAAAATCTGTAATATTAACACCTGGTAACACACGTTGTTGGCCATAGAATGGATTTATTACTAGGTAATACAACATTCAGCACACTGTTTATTACATGAACCTGCTACAAACCGAAAGTAAACAAGTGTTAGACACTGGTTTGTGTTAAACTCGGTGACCAGTTCTACCGGGACCTTTCCTCCCACGTTTACAATCTTTTCGATCAAATCAGTGTTTCGGTGTCACACACTCCGAAAAAACTGTCTTTACACAGAAGTGAATTAATAAACCCTCTCTAAGTCAAAGGTAAAGACAAGTATCTCACAGCTCTGTGCACAACATACACACAATTCTCTTGTTTACACCCAAACAGCTAACGGCTAGGATAACACAATAGCCGGTGGGTACTGTTATGAACGTCAGGCGGATGATATTGTTAGCTAACAAGCTAGCTTTAGAGAAATGCTCACAAATGCACCGGGTGTTTACGTTAAAGGTGGCATTCAAACAAAAGCATGATCAGGGTTAATTTAAAGTACAGCTCAATGAATACAGCTTCTATATAACTCCTTTAATAACATTACCTGAGCATCTTTCGGGATCGTTTTCGGAGCAGACATTTTAATTTTCCTCGCAGCGCCGCTACTGCTTCTTCTTCTTCTTTTTCTTCTTCCTCCTCCGTGTTAACCCACACCGTGCTCATTTAGCGACACCTCCTGGTCACGGCGCGGTTATATTTAGATTCTTATCCACAGATCCGGATTAAAGATCAAAATACTAAAAACAAGAAAGTACGGCTCTGATGAAAACAAGCGTTAAAAGAAGTAGCCTACTAGTTTTATCTTTTACATAAGTAAAAGTAGGAGTTAATCTCTGCATTGATGCATTAATAGGCCTACATAAGCATTTTAATGTCACAGCTGGTTGAAGCTAATTTCTATAATAATGCAATCATATTTTCTCCTTTGATCATATGCTTTAAAAATTGAATCTGCAATGCAAGTAATTACAACTGTAAGATGTGCTAAATGCAGAAGAGTAAAACAATCTTTGCATTATAAATGTAATAAAATAAAAGTATGAAGTACATATATTTTGTTACTTTCCACCACTTTAATTCTATTACATAAAGTCAGTTAATATTAATACTAGGTTTATTATAAAATGTAATACCACAGCCAGTAATGTCAGTAATGATACAAAAGTAGTTGGCCTACACTTTATGACAAATTATATTTAAGTACAGTTTGAGTTTCTTACTGGTCTGCCAGCTGTAGCTTTTTTAACATAATAAAGTTAACATTAAAAATTATGTACAAAATTTTAACTAGGCTAGAACTATAATGTGCATGTGCTGAGTAAGTTTACATGTGAAAAATGTGTACCTCATATGTGTATTTTGGCCTTTGGTCTAATTTTTACATTTATAATAGCTGACTTTTCTAAGTGCTATATAAATAGACATTAAACTTGCTGTGTATGAGACGGCCGACGTTATCACAGGATTTGAAGTGATCTGCAGGCAGAGGCTAAAAATCAATCCAGGACAGAAAAAGTCTTTGCTGCAAAAAGTATTTGCCTGTAACTACAGGAGTCCACAAACTCACACTACTAATCACTGCTACGACTACTGTTAATCTGTTTCCCTCATGTTTGTTTTTGAAGTATGCAACCTGTAAAACATATCACACGTAAAGAGAGAACAAAATGTCATTTTCAATCAATGAAATCATGTTTGTTTTCTCAGCCAAAACTCTGCCGCCCCCTAGTGTCGCTTAACTTCACAACACATCTTTCCTCCTCAAGGTTCCTGTTGCCTTACCACATTCACAAGTTTCCTTTTGATGCAGATCAACCCAACAGGCAGATCAGGAGACAGTGGGCCCCTGGGCACAGTCATGTAAAACACCCCCACCCCTCCTGCAATGTACAGTGGAGCCCCAGACTGATTAGAAACAACACGGCAGTAATGTTCTGGCTCTTCCTAATAGTTCCATGTGTAGCATGTTTGTGATTCTTTGTGATCATTTTGCTTTTTTTTTTTCATTCTGCACTGTTTTGTAGTCAGTTTGTCTTTGCAGTATATTTGTACTTCTTTGCACTTGTTTGTCATCATATTGTCTCTTTGCACTCTGCATCTAATCTATCCAGACAAGTTTCCACATGAAGAGCTCGTTGGTATTGTTTTTCAGGTAGGAAACATTAATGAATAAGGCAACACTCATACGCTTCTTCCAACAAACACGTTTATTTAGGACATTTCTGGATCTTTGTCAGGTCAACTGTTAGGGTGATTTTTATTTTATGCACTTAAGAATGGTTTATTTTATAGCACACATAGGTTGACATACTTATATGTCACAGTTATGTTTATATAGTTATGAATATCACCCTATGTGTTCACTGAACCACTGGTCAAATATTTGCTGTGTGAGTCACTGAAACACTAATGCAACATCATAAGTCTTGTCCACTAAATTACTGAATTTCATTAGATTTATGGCTGTAGCTAAGGGGGCTCATAGTTACTTATTGTTCCTCTGGACCGGTGGACCCAAAGGAGTCTTGGTACGGTAAGGCTCCAAGTTTATTAAAATAGATTAGATGTAGATGAGAAAGCTTCAAAGGGAGAACAGTTATGCACACACACACACGCAGGCAGAACAGTTTTAATTAAGTGAAACGGAAAGCAATGCGTAATATGGAACAGTTAGTTGAAACCAAAGGAAGAAGTGAGTGTGTATGTAGGAATTAAAGTAGTATAGGTATTCTTCCCCTTCCTAGGGCGCTGTCCACAATGATTGGAACAGAGAGGACGATTGGAGGGCGGACGGACTGAAGGACCAATAACAATAGAGTTTAGTCTAAACCACGGCTTCTCCCCAAAAGTTTTTTGACCAGTTAGATAGTTGTACCTTTTCATACAAATATTGTATAC